AGAGGGAGGGGTGTTGTGTGTGTAAGGGGAGGTGGGGGGGTCGGGGTCAAATCTCAGACATACGTAGCCTTAAATGATGACGAAGTCAAGTGTGGGTGGTTGGAGGGTGCCACTGGTAGGCCCTCTTACTTGTATAATTTCCCTCTGTAGGTTCTGTCTGTCTTGCCTTCTTTTCCCAGCACTAAAGACCCACTGTTGTGTCAATGTTCTTCTCTTTTCTGGAACAAGAAATAGACTGAAAAGCTCCACTTTTCCAAATATGGGTGGTTGGCGGGCGCTCTGGGGCGGTTTACTCCGTTTTTTCCAATCAAACATCTATCGTCCTTATCTCACCTCCTTCTTTTTTTATGTTTGTTACTCTCTTGTAACACCTCTAATCTTCTGGCGCTCATATTATATGACCTTATGCAGTTGCAAGAGCTGTAAAACCTTTACTAAAACAAAATAATCTTCAACACTTATAAGACATATTCGTGGTGCAAGTGCTGTAAAACTCTTACTAAAACTTAAGAAGAGGTACTTACTCGTGTTGCAAGTGCTGTAAAACTCGTACTGTAACCAAAGAAAAAGTGCTTAATTGATTAGTGTTTTGCAAGTGCTGTAAAATTGTTACTAAAACTAAAGAAAAGATGCCTATATAATATTGTTGCAAGTGCAGTCAAACTACCGACTTTAATGTTTTACACAAACTAACACAATATTCAGACATTAAAGAGACTCGACGAAAGTATTATTAATGTTGTAGAAATTTGAAAGATCTGTTCTCTATTGTTGATCCCAACAGAATCCTTGATTTTACAAAGATAAAATGCAAATGTTATTTTAGTCAAATGAAAATTGCTGCTGTTTTTAGGATTAAAATTTGTACAAAAAATGTTGAACCATTTAGACTAATCATGGACCAAAACAAAACCATGCTGTGAACCATCGTGAATGCAATCAACTTGTATTTCGTGCGCTCATAATAATGACCTTATGCAGTTGTGAGCGCCGTAAAACTCTTTCTACCCCTCTGGGCAGTGCCACTGACTGAAGTCTCTTTAGGCCATTCCCAAAGGGGGAACATTCCTCGTTCTAGTGCACAGTAGAATTGTAAATGGGCTGATCTAGCAATGTCTTACTCATAACTGTGCCTGAACTACAATGGGGAACTGCTGCTTTTTCTTTCCTAATCCTTACTATCGTCATTTTACCTCTACTTCTTTTGTATGCTTGTCACACTCTTGTGACCCGCTATTTCCGGGGTACCTTGATAGTCGAAGCAGACCTTGTGCTGTCGAAGCTAGAGAGGTGAGCAGAGTAAGTCTGATTCCCTGTAAGGACTTCTCTGTTGACACCCACCCCTTGGCGCTCATATGACCTTATGCAGTTGCGAGTGCCGTAAAACCCTCTACTATAATAATTTTAAAGAACCCAAACTCTTACTTAACTAAAAACTCGTACTAAAACTAAAGTAAACCACTTTTCCGTGCCAGGTGATTCCCCTCCGGGACAGCAAGGACTCCAGTGGTTGTACCCTGTGGAATGAGACAGGCGAGGCGTTCTACGTGTGTCTAGGGGAGAGAATCTTCCGTTCCTCCGTCCCTCGCACCTGGTTCTTCGCCATCAGCCGCTGCGACCAGGAGGGACCGCTCAACCTCAACTACGTCTTCAACATCACCGGTGAGTAATAAGATAAGATAAGATACATCTTTGTCCAGATCCTGGCACATTAGTTTGGTGTTTCACCACGCGTACACACACACACGCGCGCGCGCACGCACGCACGCACGCACGCACGCACGCACACACGCACGCACGCTCACACACACACACACACACACACACACACACACATACACACACACACACACACACATACACACAAACACACACACACACACACACACACGCAAGTTTACAGTCACATGCATAATATAAATGAACAGTAATATAAACAATAAAAATCTTTAGCTAGATACACACCCTCATTTATGGCAATGCGGCAGCCAGTATTTTCACGACACGTGGAAAGAAATTCTACGCACATTTTAACGACCTGTCGTGGAAAAAAAGGCTATGCGTATTTTCTCGACATGCCGAAGACATACCAGTTCTTACCGCAGAGGTTTAGAAGACCTATTAGCTAAAATACAAATTTTTTTGGGTAGATCTAGATCTAGATCTAATTTCAGATTTTGGACCTGTTGTACCGCCATTCCGATTAAGGTTTTAAAACTACCGGATTTGCGATGGGTCCCGAGAGTGGTTCCAATTTTCCCTTGCGAAAGTCGTAGCCTACATCCCGAAATTCTGTACTTGCCGCATCATCATCTACGCCGCAACATGTGTTTTTAAAAAAATTGAAGAGTGAGAAAGAGGGCACTTGCCTTTCTAGCTTCTCGTGCGGTAGATCTGGAATCTAACTCGGCAGTAAGTTGTAGGCCTTTTTGCGCGTACTCAACCAGTGTCTTCATTGCTTGTATGGTATTTCATACCATCCCCCCCCCCTTTCCTCTCCTCAACATTTTTAAAAACTCTGTGGGTGGTTGGAGGGTGCCACTGGTAGGCCGTACTTCTTTACTTTCCTTCTGTTGTTTCTTGCGTGATAGAGAGTTTCGGTAATGTATCCAGCTTACTCATATAAATATAATGGTAGAAAGTTTCAGTGAAATATTCCCGTTCATTATATAATGGTACTTCCTACCCTTCCCTCCCCCTCCTCACCGTTCCTCTCTCCAACATTTCTCCAGGCTTCTACGGGGAGTGTGAAGACGACCCCCTAGCCCCTTCCTCCGGATGGAACTCGTACGTTGGCTTCCTGGATGAGGACCAGGAGTCCTCCTCTAGCGAGGACGTATACCGCTATCTCTCCATCTCTCTCGGCATCGTGGCTGGGCTGGCGCTGATCGCCGCAGCCGTTTTCTTCGGCCTCTGGTTCATGGGTCTGCGCAACGCGGCCAAGAGCAAAGGGAGCTCAGTGACGTCGTCTCAAGCCACGATGACGCAGGACGACATCTTCTACGTGAACCCGTCGCTTTCGGACCAAGGCCAGGCGGAGTATAGTCAGAGCGGTTCGGAGAATTACTACGAGGTCATCCCAGAGAGGCGGAGCTACGAGAGCATCAACACGGGCCTGTCCAACGGCGGGATGCACTTGCGGCAGCTGAGGGCGGGCCACGCGGCCGCATTAGGCCACCACGGCCATCACGGTCACCACGGGCACCACCCGCACCACGCCCACCTGGCCCACCAGCCGAAGGACGTGGGCGGCCTGCGCAGCGTGCACTACCCCGTGTTCGAGGACTACCCACCCCCGCCCTACCAGCCACCCAAACTGATGGGGATGGGGAAGCATGCCGCGTTAGGCCACGCCCCCGGACACGCCCACACCCTGTCGTTGCCCAGTGGGAGTCAACGCCAGCGCCCGGCTTTGGTCCACCACGCCTACCACTCTAGCCTGGTGCCCACCTCCGCCGCTCTAGGCCACCCGGGCCTCAGCACCAGCACCAGCGGCAGTGGGCTTGTGGGCGTGGCTAACAGCAGTGGGGCGGGGCCTAGCAGCAGCCAGGGAGGAGGAGGCGGACCTTCAGGCATCATGAGCTTCAACAACAGCGGCCCGAGCTGTAGTGGCGTGGGCAACAGCAGCAGCATCGGCAACAACAGTGGACTCGGCAACAGCATGATGATCAACAGCAGCGGCAACGGACTCCTCCTATCGGGCAACTCCAGCGGCATGGGGATCCAGAGCTCCGCCCCTCAAAGCCTGGCCACTTTTGTCGGAGGAGGAGGGGGCGGGATTTCCGCCAACCCCGGCGTGTCTGGGGGCGGGATCAACATGACGTCTCTCGTCAATCACCAGCGCATGGGAAGTGCCAACGCCCACTCCTTGGCCAATAGCAGCATGCCATCCAGCTCTACTGGTGGTATCTCCTCCTTCGCAGCGGTCATGAGCTCCGCCCCCTCTCATGTGCCTGCCCCGGCTCCCGGCCAATCAGAAACCAGCGCATGAAGGTTAGGCCATGGCGTCATGCTCGAAGACGTCATTGCTGGCCAATCAGAGACCATTCTTTGATCAGGTGACTACACAGTGGCTGGCCAGTCAGAGACTGTTCTTTGATCACATGACCCCTGCACTCGGCCAATCAGAGGCTGTTATTTGATCATATGATTCCTGCAATCAACCGATCAGAGGCTGTTATTTGATCACATGATCCCTGCAATCAGCCAATCAGAGGGTGTTGTTTGATCACATGACGCCTGCAGTCGACCTATCAGAGTGCGTTCTTTGATCATATGACCCCTGCAGTCGGCCGATCAGAGGGATTTGTTTGATCACATGACCTATACACTCGACCAATCAGAGGGCGTTCTTTGATCCTGTGACCCCTGCACTCAGCCAATCAGAAGTTGTTTGGTTGATGTTTGATCACATAACCCATACGACTAACCAATCAGAAGTCATCGTTTGATCACGCAAGTGAAGCATCCGGCCAATTAGAGGCCATTATTCGATTATACAAACATGCAACAACGGCAAGCTCCGATTGGCTCTGATTTTATCTCGTCTCTTGTCGAGGTCTCTTCGTCGAAAAGGGGGAAGGAGGGGAAAACGCCACTACCACAACTACACCACCGCCATCATCACTACTACCATAACACCATAACCACCACTACCACAGCCACTGAGTGGAAACATTTCTCCCGTGACAATGAATGCGACTAAGATTTGTTCTCTTCTACGGATGTACTAAGTGCAAGGAGTATAAAAAATCGAACTCGGAACAGCACTTGTAGAAGTGCATTATTTCATAGATCTGATGGAACTGAACCTCACACCACATTCGCAGAAGTGCATTATTTCATAGATCTGATGTAAATGAACCCCAAACCACGCAAGTGAATGAAAGTGCATCGTCTCCTAGAGCTACAGGAATAAAATTCTGAAAACTGCTCGTAGAAGTGCGTCATTTCATAGATCTGTAGGAACCGAACTTCAAACAGTGCAAAGAGAAGTAAGTGCATCATTTCATAGATATATAGGAACCGAACTCTGAACAGCGCAGTTAGAAGTGCATCGTTTCATAGATCTTCGGGAATCCAACCTCGAATGGCCCACATATACAAGTACATCTTCTATTGTGTGTGTGTGTGTGTGTGTGTTCTCTTTGCAACATCTCTCAAATTTGTTAATGTCCACATTTCGGGACTGTGAATGTAAGTGCAGTTGGTGAGACATTGATTGACGAGCTGTGCAGGGGATCTTGGTTTGAATCCCAAGTGGTGTGTTCTGGAGCTGGACCTAAGTTGTTGTTTCAGAAGATTTCACGAATTATGTCTGGCTTCCTTGCTTACAGCTTGTCACATTTAATTTCTCAACACAGAGGTTCTGCGGCTCTCGCTGCCTAAATTGTGTCAAAAAGGCTGTAAAACTCAGTGAAGAGGAAAACATAAACGAGCTTTGAATTTGATTCTGACTGATACAACCCACAGTCGGTCAAAAGGTGGATGGTGTAGCGTAGTTGATGGTTAGTTTCATCATCAACTACACGTGTTCAAATCCCTGAGAGGTCAAGAATGTTCTCCTTTCTTTTTTTCTTGGATTATGATGTGCGTGCCCCAGCCCAGTGGACTTCTGACAGGGATCAAGACGCTCTGTGTCCAAGATTATCTAGGTCGTGTTGTCGTGCAGGGCGCTTATTATATAGTTCATCAAAGAACGAATTTCAAGAGACACCTCCTTCATATAAGATGTACGGCATCTAAAATGTCACATAAGATACAGTATCTAAAACATGATATAAGGTACAGTATCTAAAACATCATGTAAGATGCAATATCTGAGACTTCATACATGAGATGCTGTATCTAAAACATCACAAGATACAGTATCTAAAACGTCTCAAGATACAGTATCTAAAAGTTCTCATAAGATTTAGATACAGTATCTTAAAGATCATGTAAGATATAGTATCTAAGATATCACACATATATAAGATGCAGTATCTGAAGTATCAAATGAGATACAGTATCCAAAAACTCCAAAACGGCAAGAGACTGCCAATGACCAATTATAACTTGTCGTCGTATCATCGGAGAATTGATCATCATCACTCACCATGGAATTACTTTTTTTTTCTCTGTCTTTTTTTTTTCTCTTCTTTTTTTTTTTGCCATTCCATTTGATCCATTCACTTATTCACAGAACTCATTTCTCAGAGCAGACTTCATAACCTGAGTACCAGCTTGAACTGTTGGTGTAGTGGGTAGGCACTTACTTAACCGTTGCATGCAGGAGAGCCGAGTTTGATTCCCACGTGGGGAGAATTAATTTTTATAGAGAGTATCTTTGGTCTTTCTTCTTCTGGGATGCTGTATGTATCATCTTTCTCAGCTCGGGTTGAGCCTGACTGGCAGTGCGGTAGCCCGCCTCCTAAATGACGCACATGTATACGCATTTTTAATAATTTATGAGAACTTCATTTTGCACTACTGGGAGATCATAATTATTTATAATTTCTTCAAGTTCCTTTAGCAATTTCCATCAGTCTGGCTATTCCACCCAGCTTTAAATTATAGTTTTGTGTAGCGAGCTTCTGTTAACTTAAACTCTTATTATTAAACTCAACTCAGAGCTCAATTTGAAATGGTGTTCAGTGTCCACATTGTTTGCTGGTCTAGATCTGTGACATAAAGTGTGGGTGGTTGGCGGGTATTATAATCGTCCTTGTGTGTGGATAAGATATGATTCTCGTTTGTGTACTATAGACAATGGTCTAATGATCCTTGTGTGTGAATATGACAGGTGGTCGTATGATGAATTTTGTAAGTGTGCAGTTGATACCGGGTTAAGCATCCTCGTGTGTGAATAAGACAGGGGGTCATACAATGGAACTTAAGTGTACAAAAGACACTGGTCTAATCATCCTTGTGTGTGAATAAGTCAGGAGGTCATACAATGCACTTTGCAAGTTTACAATAGACAGTGGTTTAATGATCCTTGTTTGTGAATAAAAACACAGGGGTCATAATATTATGAACTTTGTAAGTTTACAAAATAGGAAATGGTCTAATGATCCTTGCTTGTGAATAAGACATGAGGTCATTATTATGATGGTGACCCTTATAAGTGTCTCATAGACAATTGTCTGATGGTCCTCGTGTTTGTATAAACATAACGCTGTAATAATCCATGTTTGTGTATAAAGATACTGTGCTTATGATCTTTGTCAGTGTATAAAAGATGGCAGTCTAATGATTTTTATATATGGTATAATATATATATTATTTTCACAAAATGGCGTATGGCGGAGTCTTACATCCAGCGATGGACATGTACAAAACAAAATGTGGTCCACTTATCCAACTATGGACATGTAACAAAACAAAATAAGGTCCACTTTTTATCCAAGCATGGATATATACAGAAAAACAAAATGTGGTCCAGTTATGGGACATCCAGAGATGAGACAGAGGTTTAACCCTTTGGCAATGTTTTTTTTTTTCTTACTTCTTTCTTTCTCTTGAATTTTACTGAGCTAATGCTATTCTCTGGTATGTGAAAGTCATTCATAATGAAGTCAAAAGCCTACCTCCATGATTTAAGCTGCGTTTAATGAGGGTTAAAAATTTGGACATAAACAAAATTACAACCCCCCCCCAAAAAAAAACCCAAAAAAATTTTTTTTTTACAGGATTATGAATTAAGTGCAAGTAAAGGAAAATTTAATTTGTAGAAAATATGTGGTTTCCATATTTTGTATCCCTTTTTTTTTTTGGGGGGGGGGGGGGGGGGAGGAGGGTAGTTGCCTTTTGTAATGATAATGTGATAGGCCTGTGCAGTTTTGTGACACTCTTGATGAGTTGCAACACATACACATGTCTATTATTGTGTTAGAATCTTGACATGACAGATACACACGTATGTCCTGTTAATTATGCTAATGTAGCTTCTGTCTCCGCTTTCACGATGTGACATTCCTTACTTTGTGACGTGGCCGTTCTGTGGAAGTTTTTCTTCAAGTTGTCATCTTGATGGCAACTAGCGTCTGTGGTGTAGCGGTTAAGAGCTTATGTCATGTTGCAAGTGCTGTAAAACTCTTACTAACTAAACCTAAACTAAGAGCTTCGCTGTCGCATGCAGGAGACCCTGGTTCGATTTCCGAGTGGGTAGAACATTTTTAATACTGTTTCGAGTAACTCGAGTTTTTCATTTTCTACTGGGATGTTGTACCCCTCTCAGGCCGTGTTGGCTGTGACTGGCAGGGTTGGAAGCCCGCCTCCTAAAAGATTTAAATTGTGTTGATGAGGGCGTAAAAACACGTACATTCATTATCTTATAAATTTATGTCTCTGATTTTTGGGATGTTGTGTCCCTGTTGGTCAGAGATGGCCAAACCTAATAGTGTTGATAGGGGCGTTTAAACCCATACCATTTCACAATTTTTTTAGAGATGACCAGCTCAACTGTTTAGTGTTTCTGTCTGTCTTTTCGTGAAAGGTTTGATCGAAAGGACCAATTGTTATGTCTCAATTAGCATCTGCGCATTAGTACCGAATGAGCTAACAATGTGCACAGTGATGTGTCCAGTTTTAACTACATTCTAAAACAGCTGTACAAAAGGTCTGCATGACTTATAAATTGACATGTCTTTTAACCTCTCTACTTTTCAATTCAAATTTTTATTCACTTAAAAAGATGTATTCATATTTCATCATGATCTGTTTTACTGTAAATGTATAATTTTTGAATCGCTGTGCTGTAATTGGGCACGATCTTTGCTGGAAAACAAAACAGTCGTGTGTGTGTGTGTGTCATCATCATCATCTAACTGCTGGCTCAGCGCCACTGTGAGTCAGGCTACAGACAATGTCAAGTCTCAGAAAATTGTTGTCTCTTTTTTGTTGTTGTTTGTTGGTTTTTCTTATTTTCTCCCAATGACCCTCTAGCATATTTTTTTCTGCTTTTTTTTACACTGTTCAGCAAAAACTTGTTTTCTCTAGCATGGTTTTCTCATCCAATGTCAATTAATTTTTGTTTCTGTTGTTGAAAATGAATGGTACTGCTCGTAGTTCAGAAGAACAAGGAGATCAAAGAAGGTCAGGTCAAGCAAATACGGAAAGTGTCTTGTTAATGATATAATGGCGCTCATTTATAACCTTATGCAGTTGTGAGCGCCGTAAAACCTCTACAGAACAACATTGTTAATGATACGTATATAATTGGTTGGAAGATTTTTACCGAATAATGTACTACCTGGTAGGCCTACTACTAAAGTTTCAGTTGAATTGTATTAAAACAGTTTTAGTTTTTTATAAATCAAAAATGTAGTATCAAATCAGAAAGGAGAACTGACTTTTTTTTTTTGGAGTGAGAAACTGTATAATTACATTATACTGTTCATGGTTTAATCCCCCATCGACACAATTTAGAGAATTTAGTAGTAGGCAGCTGCTTCAACCCTGCATGTCAAGGCCAACTTGGGCCTGTAATCGTGAGATTGCGGGTTCGGTGGTAGTTCGAGCCTTGGCTCAGTCCAACGTTATAGTCTTTGTGGAAGTCACTTTTCACAAATTTCCTATTTGGCTCGGTCCATTTGAGGGTGGACTTTGGAGGTCCCTCCTCTTAAATTTACCTAAATAGTGTTGATAGGGGGCGTAAACCTATGCCATAAATCACATTTCACAGAATATTCAACAACATTTTATCCATTCAGATATTCACAATTTATAACATCGTCAGTATGATTGCCACCATTTGTGCTGCAAAGATTCATGAGCTTGATTAAAGTTAACAAGATTCATCGTGTGAAACCAATACATTAACTCCACACTGTCGTCATTTCTACCCACTTCATGAGGTCTCCTTGTATCCTGACTTGAAATACACCCTCTTATTTCATGGGATCCCCCCTTTGTTTTGTCAACTCATGAAATTGTTCATCATGTAATTTCGCTACCCCAGAATTACAAAGTTCTATTTGCTCAGTTCCTAAATTTGAGAAATTTGATGTTTTTTTTATATATAGAATCTATATTTTTTTATTTTTTTTTAAATTAAAAAAAAAATTATTTAAATTTTTAAAATTATTTTTTTAAAAATAGTTTCGCAACATGTCAAGCTTTTTCAAATGAAATTTTTTGAACGTCTTTATAGTGACCCCGAATAAAGTTTATCTGCTCAGTTCCTAATTTTGAGAAATTTGATGTTAAATATAATATATATTTTGAGTTTCACAACATGTCAAGCTTTTTCGAATGAAGTTCTTTGAATATCTTTATAATGACTCCGAATAATTTTTTCTTACGATTTTAGAGTAGATAGAGCATAATTTGGTTTCTGACCTTGGTAAATGATCTTAGTAACTCAAAACGGTTAAGAATGTCGGCTAGAACTTTGTAATTTAAAGGTAGCGATTTGCCAATATCCTCTTGATGAATATATTATACTGAAAGAACACGTTTACAGTTTTAACTCTCACGTTTTTGTGACTGACCGCAATTTGATCTAGATCTGATCTATGTTTGTTCCTTGTCTCAAGTTATGTCTTACACCTGTTTCCTATCGTGATTTCTTTTGTTTCATTTTTCTGCTCAATCTGTATATATATCTCTCTCTATATATATATATAAATTCTATGCTTTAAACCTTGTGAGTAATTCTATCTCTCAGACGTTGTGATATTAACCCTTTCGTTGCCTCGCCTCTGATAGTATTACGTAAGCAAGCTGTTAAGGTGAACTAAGTCCAAAAAGCAACATCTTATAGGAGGGAGAGAAAAAACACCCTGTCATTCTTTAAGCAATTATAATAATTAATTATTACCAACATTATGAGTTTTTAAAACAAACTTTTTTTCCTTTTTCAATTTGAGCTTTTAGAATTTGAATTCCGACAGGCTATTTTTTTTTTTTTAGCACGCATGCAACTGATGCCACAGATTCAGAAACTGCAACAAAAAATAATTAAACATTTTGGGCCTAGTACTCGTACATTTTACCAGCAGGCTGAAATAAGATTGGCTCGTATTTGTTAAGACTATGGGACTGGTCTGTTTGGACCGGCCGGTCTGTGGTCTAGTAGTTCAGCACTTAGCCATCGCTCACTGGAGACCTGAGTTCAATTCCCAATGTAGTAGGAGAAAAATGTGTAGATCTATCGAGTATCTGATCTGGGTGTTTCTGCTGGGACGTTGAATCCCTCCCAGCTTGGGTTGACCTTGGTGTGCAAGATTGAAGCCTGCCTCCTCGGTGATCTAAATTGTGTCGATGGGGGGCGTAAAACTGAAGCACAGATGCATGATGCATTGACTTAAGGTGTGGGCCGTGAAAGGGTTAGTATTACAGGTCTGTATGTTATCATATCAAAGATACTACGCCACTGCATGTGGTGCACTTTCTTCTTTTTTTTTTCTTTCTTTCTTTCTTTCTTTCTTTCTTTCTTAAAAAACAAAACAAAAACATTTTAAAGCAAAATTCCATCAATTTAGTGAGCTTTGCCTTTCAGCGCTTTGCTGTGACGTCACTGGTCGTCGTCGTCAGCGTCTGAGCCAATCAGATTAACGCTTTCTTTTCCACGTGTCTTGTGAGCCAATCAGAGTTCAACTCTTTCTTTTCTCACATGTCTAGTGTCTGCTGCTTTACCGTGACATCACTGGTCGTTGTCGTTAGCCTCTGAGCCAATCAGATGGACGCTTTTTTTTTTCTCACGTGTCTTGTAAGCCAATCAGATGAACGCTCTCTTTTCACGTATCTTGTGAGCCAATCAGAGAAACTCTTTTTTTGTCACGTGTCTCATGTCTTCTGCTTTAAAAACAGTGTCGGTTGGTTTGGTTGGCGCTTGTTTTTCTTCTTCTCTTGTCTTCGTATGTGTGCGTGTCTTTGTATATTTTTTTGTGTACAAATTTTTATCAACATTCCCGCGATGTGAATAAATTATAACCCAGGTGTTGCATATAATATTATTATTATATATATATATAGTATAAAAATGATGTGTCTGTGCTGTTCGTTACACTTACAATTCGCATCATTATCATCGAGATCATCATCATCATCATTTTCATCGTCATCGTCATCATGTGCAACAAAATGGCATATTTGGCGCTGCGCATCGATCGAAATAAATTCAAGTTTGTATGTCATGTCAGATTTTTATATGTTTTATTTTTGTTGAATGTCGTTTGGTGAGGAGGTGTGTTGTTTGGAGAGAGAGAGAGAGAGAGAGAGAGCGAGGGAGAGGGAGAGAGAGAGGAGGTGGTGGGTGGCAGGCACAACAGACAGGTACACAGAAAGAGAGAATAAGGAGACAGGCAGAGAGAAACACACACACCACACACACACACACGCACACACATACACACTCACCACACGCTTACACACGCACACCACACCACACACACACCGCACCACACACACACCGCACCACACACACACACACACTCACACATACACATACACACGCACACCACACACACACTCACACATGATACACACGCACACAA